TAAAGAAGCTCTTGCAGCAGGGGACCATGGAGACCACAGCCTAAATGAGAAATGAGAAATCTTGAAGACCTAGTCCAGGTCTTTCACTGGTATAGATTAACACTGATCTGTCCCAAATATATTGTCTAGAATGATAATAGTCTGGAAAGATGGAAGCTGATGACCCTTTTGACTACAAATGGGTTACTGTGATCAGAAATTCATCTTTGCAAGGAAGACCATGCAAAAAATATACCTCTATACCTCATCAAACAAAACTAAGCTCTCTTTTGCCAAGTTAGCTATTGAATTTCTATGACTCGTGCAATACAATTTGTCTTGAAGCTCCTGTCCAAGTGACTCTTAAAGACAATATTGAAATTATTCTGCTTGGGTTATGCAGGCTAATAAAGAGTCTGATAACTGGTGGTAGGGCACTGAAGCATTCATGCATATGAAATCATAACCTGAGATTTTTCTGATGCTATGAAAAGAAATGCAGAACTACTGGTGCTTAATTTTCTCTGACTTGCAGAGCTGTTTCTAAATTCAGGTATCCCTGCAGTGAGTGATGGTTAAAAAGAATGTTTATAAAAAAAAACAACAAACCCAAACCAAACAAGGTGGAGAAGTTTGTTTCCAAACCAGCAAGGCTCACTATTTACCTTCAATAAGCTATCTTAACAATTACTGTTCAATGAAGGCAAGAACTGGCTTTATTGAGTGGATTATGTATACAGCAGTGAAAACTGTAGGAGCAAGAAGAAGGTGAAACTTTTCTGGTGGCAATAAAACCTGTTGAAATAGCCAAAGCATCATCCTCAGGGCCTAATCTGGCTTGGAGTCTGCTTGACTGAAAATAAGAGACAATAATTTTCTTATGGCTCCATAATTCAATTGAATAACTTAGTTATCTAGTACTACTTTGTCATACAGAATGATCTGTGTGTTGAAAGCCCTGTTCAGGCATAAACTAATTAATTTTCATGGCAGGACCAGTCCTGCGAAGTGCTGTGCTTCTACAATGCAAGAGAAATTGAGGAAGCACAATAACTCGCAGGGTGAGGATGAATTTCCCATTAGATATGTAATTAAATATTATGAGTCCCACTGGGATGCAGAGATGTTAAGCAGAGATATTAAATGAGTTACGCATAGGTGTGCATCCGCCCCTCTTTGGCTCCTGATTCAGAGCACAATGGCGGCAGCTATCATTGAGCCATCCTCTAGACTCCTTCATACAATCACTACAGTTGCCTTATATTAATGAATACCTCCAAGGGATTTCATGTTAGATACAGTTTTTCCTTAGTAATGCTAGACATAAAGAGCAAAAATTCAGGGTCAGAATACACAATAAAGCATGTGGGTAGCTTATCTATCTATGTTCTATTTCAGTAGCAGCTTTAGCAAATACTCAAGTTATGCTTCTTCCGTTCCTTACAGTGTGGAATAATAAACTTTAAATATTCCTTGGCAAAAAAAGCCTGAGAGGCAGGAAAAAGAGAAAGATGGAAAGTTAAAAAAACAACACCATATTAAGCACATGTCAGTAATTTGGGAACTATATTAATTAATAGATATTTAATTATTTCCAAAGTCATCGTTACAAACCTAGAAAATTTAGAGGTAGGGTTTCTGGATTTTTTTAAACCTGTGTATTACAGCTATGCATTTTACCCTAATTGCTTTGTAATTTGACATGCTATCGTTTAAAAGTGGCAGCTGAAGTGAATTCACTAACAACTGAGAGCTGAAGCATGCACAGATGAGAGCTGCAGACAGGCAGAGCTTCAATTCAGCAACTTTGTACAGGCAATAGAGCTGTAACATAAAGTCAGCAGGAAAGAAAAGGTTGTGAAAAAGACCTGGCTGAAATATCTCAGATTAACATTCAAGGCAGTTCTTTTACCTTGACAGCTTTTAGTTTTTCAGTATGGTTTCTGGTTTTAATTTCTTCTTTTAGTTTGGGTGTCTTAATTTTCCAGTGAAGAATTTGCCCTTTACACAATTGTTTTAACCTCTGTGAATGTTTATTACCTTTGATGCATTATTTTGTTGCTATGGATTTTAACCTTGAAGTGCCACAAGAACAGCAAGGAAATTTTCCTTCCTTCCCTTGATGAATAGAAAGGTACATGGCATAAATTCTGTAGGTACGAATTTCCTATTCAGGATGCGTGAGGGAACATGGTCTTTGACATGGTTCTATGCAACAACACAACTCTGTAAGATCATGGATAGCCAAGGGAAATCCAGTGGCAGTTGTGAGTGACTGGAAAACCAACAAAAAAGTCTGATCCAGCAGTTGATTCTAACATTGTTATGGTCATTTTACTAAATGTGTGGTTGGTTCTTGCCTTTATTTCCTATAAACTGCAATGGGACTAGAGCTGTTGCTGATTCTGTAGCCCATGCTTGTGTAACCTTTAAGTTATATTACTCTAATGTTTTATTTTATGTCCTTCCTATAAAATTCTGCAAAACTCCAATAGATGCAAGATATTGCAACCTGAATATCAACTTGCAGTTAGGAGACTGAACACATTAAGTGAGTTGAAAGAAAACTGTATCAGTTCTTTTCATCCAGTTGATTTTGCCGTTAGGAACACAAAGTATTTGGTATGGCTACATGTGGGATGCAAACATCATGTTATGAACTTTGCCATTAGTAGAGATCATCCAAGGTGTTCTTCTAGCTCTGAAATTTAAATTTAAAGAGGAGCAGAGGTTTACAATTGCTTTTTTGTCCTGAGTACAGGTCACTTTTGGCCAGTAACTGAATCCATTGAATTAACAGGCTATTGTACATTCAGATTTGAGAGGTGAATTATGATGTTTGTTTCTATGTATAATCTGTTATTGTAAATCTCCCTGTGAACTATTATTCTGAAGGTTTTATGCGATGGTTATGAAAGACTGAGTGATGAGACTTATTAATGTTGGCTTTAAGTTATGTAAAGCTTTCTTTCAAAATTATTTAAAATCGTTTTTACCTAATATCATCCTGTCCGTGAAAGAACCAACAAGAACCAAGGTGTCAGTTACCATCACCAAATTTTAGGGTTAGGAAATGGGGTGAGGATTGTAATGCCTTTGGGACTACCAAAATCTGGGTTTACCCGTGGCCCAGCACTCTGCTGCTGCAATTAATTGCTGTTACCCCCTGCATGTCATGAAAAAGAAAGCATAAGGCTGGGTGCTGGACTTGAACCTTCCTCCAAACCTGCCTGCAAGCCACATGACAGGCAAATGTGTTGGGGAGGCAGCCCACAGGTTCATCAGCTCCTGCTGAGGAGCAAAAATGTCTTTTAAGGACCAGAAGCATGAAGATACCCTCACACACTGTATACCTGACTGTGAAGTACTTTTCCTCCTTTTTGATGCTATTTTTCTTCTTGACTGTTACTGTCTTGATGTCAACTAACTTTGCACTCTTCATTATGAAAAACCAGCATTTGCTTCTGTCAGTGTGTTTCTGGTTTGTAGAAGGCAGTAAATTCCAAATTTTTCATTTGTGGGGCTAAGTGAAGCCATTAAAGCTTTAACCCTCACTTATTCCCAGCAAGGCACCATTACAGATGATGTTGGAATTAAGCTAAGAAATAAGCGGGGGAAATATCCTGGCAATAGAAAGCTAAAGGCAGTGACTTTGAGCAGGTTCTGATTTGGATCCTGGCTTCTGTAAATTCTTGCTGCAGCTGCTCTTGCAGCTGCATTATCTCAGCATCAATCTGAACAATGCTATGTAATAGCCTCGTTACAGAGGGTCTAAAGAGCTAACAGAATCCTAAAATCTTCAGACTTTTTATAAGATTTCCATCCTGAAATACCATATTTAAACTATTTTTCAATGTTTGAATTTAAATGGGCACAATTAGAGTTGATTTTTATTTTGTTTTTCAACTGGTAGTTATTACATTGAGCAAGTGCTCCTCACGGTCACAGTCCTGCAAACGCACACATGCAGCATCTTAATTTTATAGGAGTGAGTAGTCTTACTGAGTCGCATAACATTAGACATGCAAACAAGCAGTTGCAGAGCTAGGGTTTATATTTATAATGAAGAAATATGTACTGCAGCAAAACATTTTACATTGATTTTGCTTTCAAAACAGCAACAATACATGGAGTTTGCTCATTGTTGGCCTTACTTACCATTTCAATCAGTTGGTAAAACCTCAAATGAATTTGCTAGAGCAAAGATAAATGTACGCAAAACACTTCAAAGGTCTCACTTTTACATGTGTCTGGAGATTAAAGTTTGTCAGTGGTCATATTTGAATACTATTAGCACAATATTTAATCCATATTTCCTAAATAGTTTTGCAAGTTTAGTTATGGATGTCCTGGCACTGCCACCAATTTTCACAGATACAGTTAATGACCTTTTAAGGAGCAGGCACCGCAAAGGGAACGTACCTATTGAAATACTTCATTTACTGATTCTATGACAGTATGGCCACCCTGAAATACAACAGACCTCATCTTATTTAGCAGGCTGCTGACAACTCAGCTTCTAGAAGGTATGCAATTAGATGACAATTTCAATGTTATTTTAAAATAATTTCTCTAGCCTTCATGGCTGCAGGAAAAGGCTTGGAAAAATAACTCATGTATCATGTAAAGGCTCAGGAAATAAAAGGAAAGAAGTCAAAGAATGTATTTGTAAAAATAACAACCAAGAAAACCCAAACCCTTTTCCCTTCACCCCCCATTTTTATCAAGTGCTCCTGGTTGCCTGCCTGAGGATGTTTATTGTTTAAAGTTAGCAAGACTGAATGACAGAGGGAGTTTTTTATTAGTAAAGTTCGGTTACTGGTTGTAATAAGAGCAAGTTTTTGGTGCTTTTTTTTCATTCTAATTATACTTTACATGCACCTTTCTGTAAGTGTGGGTAGATCATGAGATGTCTGTGCCTCATGGAGCTATAAGACTTTGCTTCTTTTGAGTACCACACGGATCAACTTACTAATATCTGTGAAACACAAAGGAATTAGAATGATGAATGTCCTATAAATAAATAAATGTATCTCTATTCATTAGCTAGAAAAGCTCTGTTTTGTTTCAAGAAGTGATTACTGAAAACACTTTACCATGTATTTTATCAGCAAACAAGATGGCATTAAGTGGCAATATGTTAAAATTAGTTGTCTTCCATTCTTTTAACTTTACTGGAAAAAGTTATATTCTCTTTTCAGATTGTATTTCCCTAAGTATAAAACAGATGCATTTGGATAAATATATTGGAACATAATATTAAATTAAATGAAGAAAAGGAAATATAATGAAATAACATCCAAGTATCAGAAAAAAAAATTCTTTTCACAGGCTTGGAGTGGAAATCTAATGTTCCTTCTCTATTTTATCCTGCTATGAGGATGACAGGTATTCTATCATCTTCCAAAGTACCATCTGAGATGTCTCTTCTGATCTGAACAAGAATGGATGTCCATTCATGGATAACCAATTTCAAAATCCAGTTCAGTATATTAAATCTATTTCTGCATTGAGCACATTGTTTGTGCTTAGTACATTTATTACTATTATTATAATAAAATTAAATGGTGCCATCTGAGATCAGGATTCTATTGTACTTCTACGTATTCATTGTAAAATACATTTTTAAAGACGTATCCTTTGTGGCAAAATTGGGGTATGGGAATGAGGCACAGAGAAGTGGATCCCAGGGACATACAGGTAACCCATGGCAGATTAGCTTCTCTCTTTCAGGGTTCCTGCAGTTGCCTTTCCTAAGTCCCATTACAAAATGGCACTGAGCCAGCTCAGCACAACTGTAGTTGCCTAGGGAGTGCTTGAAGAACACCCCTATTGGGGATGTACTTGGGAAGTGAAACACTGGCTCAGTCAAGGCTCTTGAGCTTGTTGGAGCATGTGAGTACAAGCACCCAAAGGTTTTGCATGGCTGTCCCTGATGCAGTCAGTCCTAAATGCTTTACAACATGCCTCAGCTTAGTAATTCCAGCTCAGCTCTTCCTCACCTTCTTGTGAATACCTTCAGCCCCGTGTTTTGGAAACAAGAAACTGAACCTGCTCAAAGGTGTCTTACTTGTATATAATACCATAAAGGAAATCTATATCCCCGCAACTCTTCTATCACTTGCATCTCAGATGATTGAATGTAAGCAGAGGCTTATTCCCATCCTGTACCACTGAAGGAGGTATATTTATGCTCATCAGGACCTGAGCTCCACTTATGTATGTGATAAAAGAAAAAAAAGTTCTAAAATAGGTTTAGAAAAGGGTTTTAAGGAAGGTCCTTATTAATGTGTCAAGAGACTAAATTGCTGAGCACACATCAGAGCAACTTGTTAACCTTACTTTCTAAAGAAATTCTGCAAATGAATTTGAAAAATGCAGTTAAATATGAAGCCTTTGCTGCTTCTAACTCAGACAAAAACCTTCTAATTGCAGGCCACAGGACAGAGCTGGTGGAAAAAGGTGCGCTGGAGTTATGATCACAATTTGAAATACCACAAGGGTTTAACAAGCACTTTGAAGTAGAGTAGAAAATGATTGGACTCACAGAAAACAGTCCCATTTCAGTGTCAAGCTATTCTCTTAGGCAGTGAGTGCTAAAGAATCCCATGACCGTTGGGAAACAAGTGAATAAGGAGCACAAAGCAAAATCTGCACAATTAATCAAGTAACTAAGATACAAAATCTCAGAACAGATGTGTCATATTGCAAATAATAGTTGTTTTGCAGAGAAATGAATAAACTTACTTTCAGGCCAGGATATTTTGTTTGTTTTTTTCACCTCTTCAGTAGCTTATTATTTCCTCTACACATTTGCCTCCCCAGGTGCCACTTAGATATGGCATCTAAATTTCTGTACTTCATTTATGCAGTTGAGATGAAACCAGACAAATGAACCATTGCCTCCCATCCGCACTTCCTGGCCTGCTGGATGTGTGGAATTGTGGGGAAAAGTGCAGCAAGGCTAAAGCAACAAAATGGGGGAGAGAAATAAAATGGAAATGGTTAGGGATTCAGTATTAGGGAGAAGCATTGAAGATCTGAGGAGGAAATAGAGAAATACAGAAAAATAATACGAATGTAAAACAAGTAGTTGGATGATGAGTAGAACTAATGAAACCAAGTTACCTGGACCTAGGCTAGGCTGTTTTCTAACAGCATACAAGCTCTGATCGAAGCATTCCCTGCAGAGAGAGCATTCACAGTGTCTCTCCCTCATGTGAATTTTCCTAGTGTCTATTCAGTGGGTTGTTGATGATGCAGTAATTTGGAGATAGGATCCAGGGAGAGCTAGATAAACAATAATTAAGTCTTTTCCCTCAGAAAACCAAATGCTGTAGTCAGAATGAAATAAGAAGGAAGGAAGATGCAAAATGGAAACAAAACTGAAATAAAAAAGGGGAAGACCTTTCTCCACCTAAATCTTCAAGATTATTATTTTTTCTTTTTAACTTAATTTTCTAATGGGAGAGGAAAAAACCTCTGGATAGAGAGAGACAGGAGAGCAGTTGAGACAAGTGCTTAAAAAAATCCATATAGACAGACGAGATCCCCAAGTGGAGGTGGCCAAGAAATAAAGGCTGCTACTAGGTGGTAAAATGAAAGAAGGGATTTGGGGTAGGTGAGACCAGAGATGACTGGAAGAAATGCATTGCAGTCTCCGAAGAGTGCCAAGACTTTAAATTTGAGTGAGGTGAAGAAAATGAAACGCTGACCCCTTGTTAGTCCCCACTCCCTTAAACATGAATGGAGGAGGAGATTTAGAGGTGGATTTCCTCTGTGAGGGACAGGAGTCCTCCTTTCCCTCTCAGGACTGTCCCCACTGTGAGTACTAAAGTTGCAGCCAGCTCAGGAAAAGCAAACTATTAATATCCTGTTACTCCTCAAAGGGAAGCATTCCGTATGTGATAACCCAGGTCCCACCTAGATCCCCTCTGTGCATGGCATAGAAACAGGCAGCTTTCTCACCAGCCAGCTCTCTCCAGCTCTCTCCCTTGCCTCTCACCCTCCGTAGCTGCCAAGCAGAATGTTCAAAAGACAACATTCCAGGTGTCCTTGGAGACCCCACCAGCTGGTGCCCCGCCCTTCCCCATGTCCTAACTGCCTGCTGTCCCTGGCATCCCTGTGTCTTCCCCAGCCCGTGTTCCTCCGTGCTCCTGGTTTTTCCTACATACTTACAACCCAACGTCCCCAGCATCTCTGTGTCCCCACCACCTAGTGTCCCCTGCTACAGGGGGAGTGCCAGGGATGTAGGCCGGTGTACCCCATGTCCCCAGCATCTCCACATGCTCATCACTCCTCATCCCCAGCCACCACACTGCCTGCCACCACCTCTCCACCCACATGGTGAGCCACGGCTTGGCTAGGCCATGACTTGGTGTCTAAAAAAAAGCTGTCAAATCTGTGCTATAAATGAATCTTCCTAGGACTCGTTTAAGTGGCAGGTCTGTCCCACCCAACTTGCGTAATTTTTGATGCATGACGTCTCTGTATGGAGTAACAAATTTGAAGTTCATTATAAATTTTGTTGAGATTACTACTCCAAATTTCCTAGCTGGCAATCAAGTTCTGATCAATTTTTTAAAGTATTTTAACAATGTGCATTTTAGTATAACAGAAGTGTGAGACAAAAAGAGAGGTGAGAATTACAAAAAGTGAAGTAATCAGCAGGCTTATTGGAGATGCTGTCAGGTTGCTCATGCCCCTGATTTAAGTTAAAAAAAAAAAAATAAATACTAGAGCAGATGGATTGCTTATAAGATGTGTTCAAAGTTGCCAGTCCAGACAACATAATTTTTAGGGCTAAGAATTCCCTATACAGCAATGTTTGAACTGAATGCTTTTTATGGATGCGATTAGTTCGTATAGTTGTGTGATTATGCATATGGGATCTGATTCACAGGTTTGCTTCTTTCTTCCTTCCTTGACAAAGGGTAAATGTAAGAAAAAGCCTAAAAAAGTTTGTGGTGGTTAAAAATATTCAGGAGAAGTAAAACTTCAGGTTTAGAAAAGTCACATCAGGAGAAAATATAGAATTTTTAGATCTTTTGAAATTTCTACTGTGCAGAGAGTTTTAGTCTTTAAGGCTAATAAAATAAATTAAGAGTCCAGTGACATACAAGAGTGGGTTTTTTTCTCTGCTCTCTGTTTGACTATATATCAGTTGGTCTTCCAGGCAGAAGAATCATCTTGCTGACTACATCAAAGATTCCTTACTAGGAAGAGACCTTAAAAAAATTAAGTAGGACTACTTGAAAAAGAGAGATTTTGTTTCTTCCCTAAAAATAGAGATCCCAGCATTTTTTGTTTTCTTTTTCCGGAAAATAAGCAAGGAAAGAAAGTAGTTGTGTTTGATTAAAATTTGACTAGTCTGAGAAACAGGCTGACATGGTCTCCATAAGACGCAGCCCAAGGAGGGTGTGCAAATTAAATACAAGTGCAAGAGATGTTGAGACCACACCTTTCATGAGACATTGAAACAAAGTTCTCAAACCAAAATGCTTTACTTTTTGTCTCCAAAATGGCTTGTTTTAAATGCTTTCATGAAAAATTGCAGGTAGTCAAAGGCAGGCAGGGGAGGGCTTTGGGGTGTAGCTGGGACAAATGGCAAGACATTGACTTCCAGCATGGGCAGCCTTTGGAGAGGAGCTGTCAAGGGTCTTGTGACTCACACTTCTGCTATGTGCCTCTGAGAGCAGCAGAGAAAATGCACATTAGCATCACATACTTTTCCACATTTTTTCTGGTCAAAAGCTGGGCTGCTACATCATTTATTGAAAGTATGTCTCTCACAGTTCTAGGATGACTACGTGGCCCTTCCACCTTTGAAGAGATGCAATGCAACATTCATGTGTTCAAAGGTAAATATGCATATGGCTATTGTTCATTTTGAGAGATTCTGGAAATAAATGGTAAAGGACCACAGGAGAAGTCAGTGCTTGGAAAACTAGAGAAAATGTACTGCACAGGGGGGGTCACAAATGTTTCCTACCAATCTGTTTGTTTGCTTTTAATTTATAACTTGCAATTTCCTATTGATAACTGGGTTAACTTTTGCTAGAGGATTTCCATGCAGGTACTTGTAAGCTAGAGATCATACAGTAATGGCAGCTTTTGTTTGCACTAGAAGCTATCTGGAAAGCCACTGCTAAATCCTTGGGGAAGCAGTTGCCTCTCTGGTAGCTATGCCCTTCATAAAACATAGGCTCTTGCATTATTGGTAGATTTGTATGTTCCCATATCCAATAACTCTGAGTAAATGGTGTGTTTAAAACATCTGTCATAGCATTAAGAAAAGGTTTCTGCCATGCTGTGGTAATGGAGAATATTTTGTGACATGCTGGAATTGAATCCCCTTGTTGTGAACATACCCTCTGGCTTTGGATACCCTTATGCTTACTCCTTGCAAAACACATTAATTTTGGAGGCTTATTTGTTTTAATACCTGTTACTGCCTACACCAGTCCTGAGAAAGGATGAAGCTGTGATATGTTGGCACATTAGTCTAAAAATCAGGATAATGCAGGACTGAGATGAAAATGAGGAGTACTACTAACTCTCGAGCCAGTGCTGGGGTAGGAGAAGCAAGGGGAAAAACAAGAACTTCTGTCTCTGTAACTGTTTAAAATATAATGATAAAAATTACTAACCAGAAGTTGAAGGAATTTTTTTTTTAATGTCCCCCGGGTCCTGCCCCCCCCCCCCCCCCCCCCCCCGCAAATTTTAAACAAATTACTTTTAATATTACCTAGACATTAATGTTTTAGGTTGAGTACTATTCATGCTCCATAACTGCTTTTCATTAATGTTTTAATGGGTCGAGGCCCAATTCCACTGAGGTCAATTAGAAGATTCCAAATAAATCTTTTCTTCCCCTCCTCACATTACTATGCAGCTTGTAAGAGGGCTGACATTGGTCTGTGCTTTTGTTTTAAAACAATTCAAAAGATGATTTTCCAGTGGGAAGAACTATCACTATATAATTTGTGGCTGGTACTTAAACTGATGTTACCCACATAAAAGCACTTATCTTTAATTTTGGGGAAATTTTCAGACATGCTGAACACAATTCTACCTGAAGTTAAATATAGGCTTTGCTGGTCAATGCCTCTGAAGACCAGAAACATAATATTTAACGTATTTCATTTTGTCTTGTGTTGTAAAGAATCAGGTTCAGAGTAGTTCAGAAGTGCATTTCAACATGTTCTTTCTGCAAATATTTCAGATAAATAAAGTGGTATATTAAGATAAAATATGTTCAGTTTTATTTATGATTTAACTTCTTACCTGCGAATATCTAACTTTAATGAGATTAATTTTTAAATAGACTTCAGACTTTAAATAATTAGAAGCATCTTTCTTCACAACAAGAATATAGTAGGTCTTTGGCCTGATATGCCATAAAAAAAAATGGAGGGTGAGCTATAAAATACCTTGGGAAATATTGATATTTTTGTTTATTCATGTTATGTATGGCTAACTGGATAAATACTACTATGGTTTGCTGCAGAAGCCCAAGTTAAAATTTCTGTTGTACCTCTGAAGTTGCAGTATGGTCTGGGGCAAATAATTTACTGAATAAGGCACTAAGACTTCATGCTATACATGCATAAGTTTCTGAACCCCAGAGCTCTAGCTTTAATGATAACTACTTTGAAAATATTCCTTTAATGCTCTTTAAGTGCAATTTCTAGAAGTACTTTCTGGCTTTAACTGCAGAGCTTCACATTTGTCTGGGATGTTTTAAGAAATCAGAAA